GGGTTGTGTAAAATGCCGAAGAGAGCGTGGTAATACAAGATAATTTGGTTTTATCAACTGAGTCAGAGCGAAAGATGAAGGGCTAACGCTCGAAACGTCAGCTTTGAAACTGCGATGGCGAATTTACATCATCAGTTCAGTTGATGAAACCAACTTGATCTATCTTTCCATGACAGATTATTCTAGCAAAGTCACGATTTTTGGGTTCTAAAAGAAATTTACTTAGTTGTCCATATAGATGAAGAAGAAGTTTAGAAAGCAATTAAAAGAAGGAGCGAACAAATTTTGCGATTAGCAAAATACAAGAAATCTGATAAAGGAATGAATGTTTGTTTGTTCTCAATGCGGACAAGTTCTTTTTTTAACATAATCGCAATTAAAATTAAAATTATGTTTACGACTGTTGTTATGGCTATTGTTACAAGAGTTCTAAGGTGAATGCTTTTTCGCCCCAATTATAATATAGCACGCTCGCTCGTCCTATCTAATTCGGAGTAGCTACCATGTTAAAAATTATTATGTACGCACAGCCGTGCACCATAACATGACGTGTGTCGAAGTGTCAGCTTAAATTATATTAAATTCGTGCCAACTTTGCTGACCGGACATACTCTTGGGGAAGGCCGTGACTAAAGGCGTATGCAGCATGGTTCTAAATAAAATATCATGCTTGGTGGGAAAATGAAACTGACCCAGCCTCTTCGATATTTCAAGAATGATTACGACTTGATTAGAACGCCAAAAGGTTTTACGGAAATGCTAATAGAGTCTTGTAATTCTTACCCATACATCAGGGGCCAAGGTTGGTGCGACCCTTTGACCCGAGGAAATTGGAACCCAAGCTAACTTTTGCAAAACACAACACAGGCGGCCCGAGCTCACGTCTCGAGAAAAAGCCAACAATGGAAAATTGGAAAGCGCACTCCGACATCCGTCAGAAGAAGGTCATCTCGGGTAGATTTCCGATTACGAAATCCGAGCTCGCCCGATGTTGTCTTCGTGATGAAGGCCCTGTTTAGCATATTAGACCCGCAAAACAGAGTAGAAACGAACACGTGCTTCGTTTTCGCTCATGACTTCGTATTAGCGTCAAGATATTTGCATTTTTTTTTCGTTGCTTACCTATATTACAGACTCCAAAAAATTTTTGCGATGCCTCCTTTTCACGGATGGCCGATTACAACTACAATATAGTGACACCTCCACGAAATCTGTCAAAAGGAGGATGTTAAAACGCCAGAGGTCATCTCGGGTAGATTTCTGATGACGAAATCCGAGCTTGCCCGATGTTGTCATGAAGGCCCTATTTCGCATTTTAGAGCCGCAAAATAGAGTAGAAAGGAACACTTACTGCGTTTTCGCTCATGACTTTGTATTAGCGTTAAGATATTTGCATTTTTTTCCGTTGCTAACCTATGTGACAGATTCCATAAAATACATTTGACGCCTCCTTTTCACGGGTGGCCGATCACAACTACAACGTAATGACATCTTCACGAAACCTGTCAAAAGGAGGATTTTAAAACACCGGAAATCTTCTGGATTTCTGATGAAAT